AGGGGTTCTGGGCATCCCATCGACGCGCATAAGAAATCAAGTAACAGAGTGCAGCTGCCAAAAGAACGCCGGCAACAACAGGAGTGACCACAATGCAAACTATGCGGCAGGTGTGCCGTGGTGTGCGTTAACACACGTCCGGGTGGCCGGCTAGACACCTTTCGCTCGGGTGGGGGTGGGGGTGGGCGGTGGGGGTCAATTTGACCCCGCTGAGATCTCGGGAACTAAGAGAGCCAAAGACACTACATTTACCGGGTGTGTTGACCTGTACATCAGCTCACTTAGGTCAAAGTTTGAAATTCCTAGGTGATGACCTTCGGACCAAAAAAGGTCAGACAATGTCAAATTCCGGGTTGGTCTTTAAAGTGCCCCAGAACCTAGATATCTACTTGTAAGCAGGTGGTCACGTGCTTATTCAAGGTCAGTGACTTTGCTTGACCTTTCGAAGGTCACGGTGACCAAAATCATACAAGACTGCTTTGAGTTTTGCATTTGAACAAGCGACAGAGATAACTCTAGGCAGCATGTTTCTAAAAACAAACCATTGACCTGGGTCGTTTTAGGTTAATGGTCTATTCTGACCTCTAAGAAGTCCATGGAAGATGCATAATGCGGTTCCTGCCATCAGCCAATTCGAAATGAGCACCAGAAACTATCTCATACAGCAAGCCCCAGAGTAACAAAAGAGGTTGGTGTTGACCCTGGTCTGACCTTCATACCTGATTTAAGGTCAACGTAATTTGCTCATTCAATATTTGTGTTGCCTAAAAAAGCATCTCAGGAATGTATGGCTATGTCTAACACTCCGTTGTTGCATCAGGTTAAAAATTCCCTGGAAATTTACTTAGCTGAAACCATGGCCTGAATTTGACCTGCTGACCTAACAAGGTACATTTCAATTTTTACACCAAGCGAACCGCTATTCAATTGTCTACAGCTATGCAAAATTTGGCGCGGCTACGCTGCACCATTCGGAAACCATTGCGGAAAAGTCTTGGGGGGGGGGGGGGTCAATTTGACCCTCCACTCGAGCGCGTGTTAAGCGGCCACCAGCGCCACGAATGCGTTGCATGTGTTTAGCGACGCCTGTCAGCTGCTGTGCACGTTCACGGATGCGTTGCGTGTGTTTAGCGGCGCCTGTTAGTTGCTACGCACGTTCACGGATGCGTTAAGTGTGTGCAGCAGCGCCTGTTAGTTGCTATGCACGTTCACGGATGCGTTGCGTGTGTTTAGCGGCGCCTGTTAGTTGCTATGCACGTTCACGGACGCGTTGCATGTGTTCGGCAGCGCCTGTTGTTGTTATGCACATTCACGGATGCGTTGCGTGTGTTCGGCAGCGCCTGTTAGTTGCTATGCACGCTCACGGATGCGTTGCGTGTGTTTAGCGGCGCCTGTTAATCGCTATGCACGTTCACGGATGCGTTGCGTGTCTTTAGTGGCACCTAACAAGTGAGACAGCCTGGCGGGGCCACGCGATCGGTGAACGGTCAGGCGGACTGAGGAGTAAGCGGGCTGAAGAGACCAGCCAACCCTGTTCTCAGTCCGAGCACTGGGTGAGGGTGAACCATACCTCTCTGAATGAGCTCTCCGCTGCGCGGAACAGCAGACAGTGCCCAGAAACCAATGAGGCTTACGTCATAACTGTCAGAACGCTGAACCAAACTTGGCCTTAACTTTTGAGCCTTGCTGACAGATTCAACGTCACAGCTGCCAACATGCCCAGCAAAACTTGACCTTAGCGGTTTTACATTTCCGACAGATTTATAAGATACTATCTATATACTTATCGTAATTATATAAACACGTGGGCATACTCAAAACCACATACCCCCTACGCAACCCGTGGCGTACACAACACGTGGCTTTACTAAAGAACAAAGATTGATGAAGTTCATCCACCTGGCGAGCCATCTTCCACAAACACATAGACACGTTTCTAGCGTTTTTTTTATCCAGTCCTAACTTAGTTTGACCACCAGACCTGGTGTACGTGGGGGTGGGGGTGGGGTGGAACAGGGTGCGGTGGGGGTTGCGGGAGGAACAAACACTCGAAGCAAGGTTCTCCCAAAGGCATTAAAAGAATCGCCTGTGGTCATTATTATGCCCGCATTTGACACACTTGTTTTCAACTTGAGATAAAATCGTGTATCGCCTCACCAGCCAATAGTTTTGGAATGAGCCGTGGGTTGAGTCGGCTCATTAAAAAAAAAAAAAACGCCGCTTCGAGCCATGAGCTGAATCACGTTCTTCGTGAGTTTCATCAGCTGAAACGTGAGCCCATCATTTCTAAACATGCCAGTGAGCCACGCAACTCAAACTAAAATGGCAACATGAGACGCGGCACACCCCAGGGAGATTAACAGACCATTTCAGTGTTTTGAAATGAACAGCATGCAACAATAGCTGTAAAGCTTGCTAAAAAATTGTTGCAATTTCTAAGCAGCATGAAAAACATGTTAATCCTGATTTAAAGCTTGCCAACTCCTAGGCAGAAAACAGAGAATATTACATGATGCAGAATTCTACAGCCCTGCATCCAGTGCTAAACCCAGTGAATTATTGCTTCCTTTAAATTCCAATGGCTGGTCATATTTTCATTATCAGTTGTTGCAACTATAAACTAATGCATATTTGACCCCTAATTCATTTCTTGAACTGTCATGAGCATGCTATTGCTGAAGCTATGTGAAATAAACAGCAATAGTGGCAAGGTTGTCTCGTCTCATATGCGGATCGTATGGTGCGGCATGCAGCCTCCCAGGGATGGAATCAATTTCCGGTTTCGAAGCGGTTAAATAATTCGCAATTTTGCCCTTTTTAACTACAACTAGGGCGCGTAGCATTGGATGCGATGAGGAGGGGTTGCGATGAGTGGAAGTCCCATCCCCCTGTCCTTCCTACTTGGCCTGTGCCAGTCCTTATCGTTTTTTTTCATTTCTCATCGTCTTTCCATTGTCCTGAGTCCTTTCTATAGCCCTCCTTGAGTCTTAGCCACGTACCCGTTACCTCAGTACCTACTTACCTACCTTTCAAGAATTTCAGTACGATGTTGAACTGCTGACTTGTAAAGTCGCTGACCGAATGGCTAATTCTTGCCAGCGGAAGCATGGATGTACTTGGGTGGGACTTGGCAGGGGCCGAATGCCGACTGTCAAGTTAAGTGTAGTCTAGTCTTCATTGTATGCTATGTTACTATGAGCAGGGTAAAAGCTGGCAGGTAGAATGCGCTAGCGCAGAGCTGGGACTTGAGGCAGTTTGTTGGTGACAGTTTGTTGGCGACAGTTTGTTGGTGACAGGTTACAGGAAAGGCATGAATGTATGCTGCACTGTGTTCGCTTTGTCCAAACTACAAACTTGCTATTAGGTTATCGAAACCTAATTTTCATGCTATGACACACACACACACACACACATACATACACACACACACACACACACATATATATATATATATATATATATATGAGCGTATATATATATATATATATATATATATATATATATATATATATATATATGTATGAGCGTATATATATATATATATATATATATATATATATATATATATATATATATATATATATATATATATATATATATATATATATATATGCATGAGTAATATGGATAAAAAGTCAGAGCAACGAGCCAGAACTGAATCGAAACTATGATTTTGCGGGCTGCGTGAGTCATGAGCCAGCTGATTCAGCGCAACGAGTCTGAGCCGAACCTTACAAAAAATTTGGAACGGATATGAGTCATAACCTGAATTGGACCTCAAAATCTGTGCATCGATCCTGAGCCGGCCCCCCAAAATTTGAGTTGAACACAAGTCTGACATTTGAATGGTAATTGTTATGCTCCCGCATAGCCGTTTTGCAATAAGTTGTCAAACATCAACGGACCGATACAACGCGCACACGTGTTCCATTCCTTCCGTCACCGTATGCCTCTACCCCCGTGTCATCCAGCCTACCACTACCTTTCAGCATTTTTTGGTCGCATTCTACGATGATATAGCCTGGAGAGTCAAGCTCACTTGAAATGTTGCTGTAATTTGTCCGTGTATATAGCAAATCTCTGTCACTTGGCCATGTCCAGACACAGCACTTGCTCGTAAAGGGAGTGAGTTTCCCGCAAAAGCGCTGAGACTCACGTTTAGAAAATTGCGGCATATTCTCCAGATTCACATTTTTCGTCTTGTCAGGCATGTTTTCTTTAAGCTGTAGCAAGTGATGCGGTGTTGGCCTTGGCGACAGTCCTATGGAGTGACGGGAGGGGTCGCGGGAGTAAGCGTCAATGGTATTTTCAATGTGTCAGTATTTTATTCCATTGTGTTACAATCGGCATGAAGCGCAACGCGTTTTTTGGACTTGGCAGGGCTTCATTTGTTTGCATATGTTCAGGTTTACGAGTTGCTCGTTTTGGAAATGGTATGCTTTGTTTTTGTTAGGAAGCACGTACAACAGATCAAAGCCTCTTTTCGCAAGCATAGGTCCCTTAACAAGACATTTACCAGGGTGGATGTTGTAGTTCCGTTTTACGAGCTCATTTTCACTCTGGTGAAAGTCGTGCGAGCTGGCCCTCCAACGGGCCCCAGGACGTGCGGGATGAGAAAGGCGACTCAGCGCCTTTTTCTCCGACTATTTGGGCAGGTGTGGTGAACACTGCGAGTGCTGTGTTCTCGTGCTATGCCTCGCGATAGGGCTTGAATCGTTCGGTGCTTTTTACGCCAGGTATTTAATCGCTACTTTCACGCTAACCAATTCGTCTTTCTCAATGCGACTTGTTATCCGTGCTTATGAAATACCTGCAGCTATAAACGACGAAGACAACATTCAGGTTATGGACGTTTCCATTCGTATAAGTACGTGTGAATGTGTGGCGAGGCACCACGTACGCCCAATATGAGCCAACTCAAACATAGCCAGACTACATTCGCCATTAATCATCTCGAAAATGATCTTCCTCTCGAAAATGATCTGCCCAAAAAAACCGAGTGAAGGGTTCACTGTATATAACACAGCATTCTTGCTGGACACTCGACCAAAAACAGTTCCATGCCACGCTGGGATGAATTGCAGGCAGCTCGGCAGGTATGACCACCCTGGCTATCGCAAAGACTTGGCCATCCAGCGTCTCACTTGCGGCGCTTCCTTTTCTGACCGGTCTGAAACAAAGACACATTGATATGAAACCCATTTGAAAGGGACTGTTCCACATCCGTATGGAATTTACAACTGATATAGGGATTTTCAAGAGAATTAGCTACAGTTCACATTTAATGCCTTTTTAAGACTTAAAATAATCCTATTTTGAGCAGGGCGCACGCGAACTCGTGCTAACTTTTTGGCACCGCCTATGTTAAAGTCAACCCAAACTGGATATTGTCATCAAACGTCACACAAATTTCGTCTCCTCGGTGACCATGTGGTATTCACATTCAAAACAGATATCACCATTTAGTTAGTCGCGCCCGAAGAACGTCAGAACGAATCATAGCATTAATGAACAATAGTTGGCTTCAACCAGCTTGACGCGTAAATGTTACCTTCGAGTGCTAGCCACGTTTAGAAATATACAATACAGGAATTTGGACCGCACGGAAATAGACACAACGGAAAAAGCTGGAAATCGAGTAACTTAAGAATAGCGCGGTGAAGCGAGAATGAGAATGCAAGTAAAACATATAAAATACACGACAAATGTTCAAGAATACCCCGAGAAAGGACCAAAACATGCATACACAACCATGTTCGGTTCAGTCTGAACACATCAGTCAAGAAGTCAGCTCTCGGAGAGTTGAAGCCAACCCGTCAACCCGCCAACAAGCGAGTCAACCCAACCGCGACAATGACAATTGTCACACGGCCAGTCTGGCAACAACACTGACCAAGCGATGACGTATTGAGGAGCATATTTACCAAATCGTGAAATCGTGTTGCCAAAATAAGTTTTTTGCACTTAAAAAGAACACAAATAGCTATAAGTGGGCCTTTCCATACACTGACGCTTATCTCAATTCTTCAAATGTGGAACAATCCCTTTCAGTTGAGGCCATCGATGTCTTCACGTTACGCGCCAACAGCGCACGACGGTCTTTTCAGGAAATCATAGCCCATCCACAACGTAAATGACGTCATTCTTTGGTACACACACGGAGTGACGCAGAATTCTTGGCGCTGCAGTTTGATTCCCCATTCGACTCCATACGTTGGCTTCTTCAACTCACGAATGATCCTCGAAGGCGGAACTTGCCTCGTATCCCAAGCAATCATGAGTGAAGTATCGAGTTCCCAGCACATTAAGTCTCCTTCTCTTGCGTGGTCTCCACGCTCGTCGGACATCCGTTTCGCGGCGCTTTCGCGACCCCTGTGAGATTTGCACGTCTCGTTTGTTCGTTACGCTGAAGGGTGCACCCACGCACCGAGCTGGTACAGATCTATTTTCACTGATCTTCACCGCCCTAAGTTTTAAATCACGACTAAGTGTTCGGTAGTCATGTAATGAGCATCAGAGGGTAAATAGTCGTTTTGCGTGCTACAACGTGGTGTAAAGGGCGTGAAACATTGTCCCGCGGGACCGATTCGTCACCCTCCCCCTCCCTTTGGACTTACCTATATCACCATTTAAGTCCTTCAGCTACAGCAATGGAAATTAGTGGCCTTTTCTGACCACCGGTGTCACATATCTCAGCAGCATTGAGATGCACTTTGGCACCGCACGTTTTCCAGGGGCGACTCCACGTGTGATCTGCGAGCACCACGCCGGAACAAATCACGTCTATTCGGAGATGCGAACCGATGGATCACTGCCTTCCACTGAGTGCTGACATTTCATTGAAAAAGATCTCCATAGTAACAGACACATCATTGGCCATTTGTCAGTTCATTGACGACTGGATTGCCATAGGTAGAGGTGAAAAACATGCACGAAGAGTAATTCCACGATGAATCTATGTTGGAAACTTTCATCGGAATCGACGAAAACCACGGGTCTGGGTGCAACGTGAGAATACCAAACTGTGCGCCGGCTCCTCGCGTGACCATTAAAATGTAAGCGTCGACCAACACAGCGCGCACCAGGTCAGAGGTACCACGTGCTTTGACGCAAACCGAACCACCCATAAATTACAGCTGCACTGTGCTGCACTGACTCAGGCGATGTCGGAAACGACATGGCAGCTTGCCTGGGGTTACAGTCCATGGACAGCGCGCGACACTTGCTGCAAAGTGCGTCTTTAGGCCCCGGGCAGGCGTGAAAATGTGATCGCCGCGCAATGGGCGCGCGACTGTTTGAAGCTATGGCCGCAGCATGGTAACCCCGGATCGGGGCGACACACGAAATTGCACGAAGAGAACTGAACGGGAAATTCCACAATGCAGCACACGTGGCTGCACGGGTCAGGTGCCATGTGCGCACAGTCACCATGGATTTGCCTACCTTGGTCGTTTTCACTTTCTGTGCGGTATCTCGGCCAAGGCAAGTGAAGGCATGCATTTACATAACTGTGTTGGGTCGAACAACAAACCGTGCACAATTCGCGTCCGCAGGCAAACTTTGTGAAACAGACGGTTGTGCCAGAGCTAGTTGGATGAGTCGGAAATGTCGGCAAACGGCAATCGACAGTCGAAACAGGTGCCGAATGCAATACGCTGGTTTTAAAGCTGTCACGAGTCTCGTTAAATTTACATTACCATGAGCCCCGATTCATTTTCTTCTTTTTCCACCATTATATTCCACACCGTTTACTCTATCCCACTCAAAGATCAGCTTAGCTTAGCGGGCCATAATCAAACACTTTCGGAACGTCAAAATGCTACCGATTCTCGTAAAAATGTCCATCCGCCGCCGCGGAGCCCTAAACGTGAAAGGCCTAAATGTACGCGTTGCGCTTTTCCCAGAGGCCGGCAATTTTTTATCGCCTTTCGTTAAATCAATGATTGAAAAAGGGAAGTATATTTCCCACTTTACATATGACTTCACTGTCGCACGCACGCACGGGAAAACGTAAGGTAAGACGCACATAATGAGCCATCAATAACTTGTGAATGATAAGGGGTAACACAACCGGAATCTGAAAATAACGTTTGTTATCTTAAGTCGAAGTCCGTTTTCAGGGGGCGTAGCACAACACAGTGCTATCACCGGATGGCTTTGAGATGGCTGCATAGTGGGACAACATAGAAACATAGAAGCAGCGTTGCTAAGCGACAACGGCAAACATAGGAAAACGTGGCGCTTTTGCATCACATTATGAATGCGCAAGGTAACGTTGGGAATGCGTGACAAAACTCCGGTCTGAACGAACGTTTAGAAAGACATTTGGAAGTTGTATATAGTTGGTTAGCCGCATGCCTTAAATGATTTGTTATGGGTACTTTATCCCACACAGGTTTTGAGCCTTACCCGTTGCGCTCCCCAAACCAACATGACATATCATCTATATACACCCTTGTCGTCTGTCTCAGGTCCAATTGACGCCACCCCTACCAGTTCATATTTACGTCTACACCGACCACGTGGAGGTGTTCAGGCGCTTGTAGGACTTTGCAATCTCCATTTCCCAGGATATCCTTACGGACACATTCTATTCTTGCTGATGCTGTTGGTCGGCTTCTCAGTAAAAACGGTGCACAAATTCTGTGTCACAGCTGTATGCCTCCAGCAGGCATTCGCTGATGGCGATTTCTTGGCACGCCAGAATTCCGAGCAGATGAGATTGTTCTTTTGTTGACATTCCTGGTCTGATGTTCTAATAGCACTGCTTATTGAATGGGGGCGCTTCACAAACAGTTTTGTCGATAATCTGGAGCTTGCGGAGCATCTGGAGTTTAGTGTGACGGTTGAGTGACAATATCTGCCGAACTCCATACGGTTGAGGGAAGATCTTTGCCGAAATCCAGACGCTTCTCATGAGAGCCAGTTCAGGCACTAATGAATGGTGGATGTAACTCTCGCAGAAATCTAGTTTTAGGGTATTATTATTCACCGCAGCTTGACCAAATTTATGCACGAATGTGATCCCCCCGTTGAGAGGACGGGTCGCCTTGTTGCCCAAAGTCATGCCGCGCTGTCATTTGTAGCGGTCTTTGTTTAAGCCGAAGGTGTCATTTTCAGGACAACGAGCGAGAAGCCCTGTCATGTTCTAACGGCATGTAAGAAGTCCGTCCAAACGCCTTCTTCCAACATTTCTGGTTAGGCACTCCTTTGTTAAATTAGACGAAATGTACGTAATTCGTATACCGCATGGCGCGGAAGTTACAGCAAAAAACCGGCAAGAACATATATATATATATATATATATATATATATATATATATATATATATATATATATATATATATCCCATCCTTCATTCCTTGCTCCCCCACTCACTCACTACCTCACTCTGTTCCCCGTAACTTCCCATTCTCCTATCCTCTCTCTCTCTCTCTCTCTCTCTCTCTCTCTCTCTCTCGCTCTCGCTCTCGCTCTCGCGCTCGCTCTCGCTCTCGCTCTCGCTCTCGCTCTCCTCGCTCTCGCTCTCGCTCTCGCTCTCGCTCTCGCTCTCGCTCTCGCTCTCGCTCTCGCTCTCGCTCTCGCTCTCTCTCTCTCTCGCTCTCGCTCTCGCTCTCGCTCTCGCTCTCGCTCTCGCTCTCGCTCTCGCTCTCCTCTCGCTCTCTCTCGCTCTCGCTCTCGCTCTAGCTCTCGCTCTCGCTCTCGCTCTCGCTCTCTCGCTCTCGCTCTCGCTCTCGCTCTCGCTCTCGCTCTCGCTCTCGCTCCTCTCGCTCTCGCTCTCGTCTCGCTCTCGCTCTCGCTCTCGCTCTCGCTCTCGCTCTCTCTCGCTCTCCTCTCTCTTCTCTCTCTCTCTCTCTCTTCTCTCTCTCTCTCTCTCTCTCGCTCTCTCTCTCTCTCTCTCTCTCTCTCTCTCTCTCTCTCTCTCTCTCTCTCTCTCTGACTAATCGCCGGCCTGCGTCTGCCGTTGCAATCACACTGCCTGCCGTGTGATATACCAGAATAAATGTTTTGGTTATGACACGCGGCAGGCACGTCGTTTCAACGCCTGAGTCAGTCTTCATGACGTGGGACAGTTTTCTGACGCCGGGTAGACGGTCGCTTGTCAAATTTCCGAGCCAAACAATCCCAGCAACGAGCCCGCGGCCGCGCTCGGGAATATCCCAAACGTTTAAACGGAGCGAGCAATCTTGCACCGTCCTCCGCTGGAAATGCGCATTATTCAGCCAGCGACCTTCGTTCGCAATAAGCCCTGTTTGAGGTTGGAAAACAAACTCCATTAGCAACTGCGCCTGAGCGCCGCCGAGGTCCAAGCACCGGCATACATGTAATCAGGTTCTGTACGGCGGGCAATACGGTTGGTCGCGCCTGTCCGA